ATCTTGGTTGCATTAGAGCTGTAGTAGCCAGCACTCACACTAGGAATCCTGAAATTTATGAAAACGAGAAGTTTTCGATTCCCTGCAGCTTCGTACATATCTAGTGCGAATGGAGCCTGTGCGCACTTGGGAAAAAGAAAATGACTTTTGCATTTGGCTTCGGGCAGTTTGCGCATATGATTTTCTTGGAGTCGCCAATTGTAATGATTCTTGAAGTAATAATTATTCACAACTTATGAAGGCAAAGTATTTGCAGATTCGTGAGATTGGCGTGTTCAGCTGCGGTCCAAATTCGATCAACAAGGAGGTTCGCAGATCCTGTACAGCAGCAAATCGAATCCGAAATGCACCATCGTTTTACCATCGTTTTGAAACTTTTTAATGCTCGTTGTTGTCACTGATTTTGAAGGCATCAGTATTTTATTTGCTTTACAAATATGTGTATATACACCAAGAATATCCAGATTGCCCGGGCAATCGATGTGAATATCACATGTTAATGATGTTACTGAAATGCTCCCATGTGCTGGGTGCTGCTGCTGTGCTATGTGTTAATATGTATTTCAAAAGAACTGAACTTTCTTATCCGGGTAACTTTTGAGCCTCCCATCGATTTTTAGCTGATCAAGTTTGAATGTGAACAAATAGCCGTGAGCCTAATTTTAAATTTTTGAAACTGAATGTGGAAGTTTAGAAAGAGGTGCCCAACAGCATCCATTGGGATATAAATGTATTTTATCGGCGCTACGAAATGCTCAAAAAAATTTTGCAAGGATTTTTGCCTATTCACGTATCTTCCATTTTCCGTCAAGTATTCTCGTGCCTCAGGACATTTGCACCCGAATTCTGACTCACCAGCAATTGTTCTGTTCATAAAAGTTCAGTGCCTTTTAGAAAATCTACGGTTTTTGAAAGGCTCTGCAAAAGTCAAACGAGAAGGGTGTTATCGCTAATGTTGTAGAGCTCAAGGAATAGCTCGGCCTTAATCTTTCCATATCTATGCATTTCGATGTTGCTGCTTCCTTCAAAATGAGCAAGCACACATACACACTACTCTTTGCGTGGCTGCTCGATCTCAGTTTGTCTTTCACTGATCTGTCTAATTTTCCGCAATTTTAATTTCACCAGTTTTGTTCCGTTACAGTAAATGCGTACGCATGAACGCGCTTGCGTGGTACATACACGTGCTTCGACGTAAAACGCCTAATCGAACACAGTTATATCACTGATATCGTCCGAAAGCATTTTGTCAAAGCCATTTATTGAGGTATATTATAGTTGACAATTACACATTCGTTATACGAAAATAATGATTTTCGTCGAATGCTAAACCACTAAAACTACTAATTATTGTAATGGTGGAGATGATAAGGAAGATATATCTGCAGGTTATGACGCCTTTTAATTTGGATTAGTTTGTTTAACCAATGAACCAAAAACGCTTTGGCAAAGCAATTTCGTAAATTATAGTAATCGAGTAGTCG